TTTAATACCAAAATTTTTCTGTATAAATGTAGAGATTTTCGTATATTCGCCTAACCGTCAAAATTAGTTGAATAATAAAAAAAAATTATACTTATTTTGGTTTTGTTGTTGGTTTTGCATTTTTTGAGTAATTCAATCAATGAGAAAATAGCGAGACGTTAACGCAGTACATAATTACACCAAGTTATATTGTAATAATATTGTAATAATTGATTTAAGTATTAAGTAGATTATACACCTAATTGAAATAATTAAGCCGTCTACCATATACTATTATTACCTGCAGTCCTATGCCTTAATGTATCACTATTAAATTATCTCCCTTGCATATTGACTGGCATTAATTAATCAAAGCTTGTTTGATCTGGCAAGAGTTCTCGAGAGTTCTTAAAGCATTGGATCGTCCTATTTTGTAGCTATTAAATAGTTCCAAAAGTAAACACGGGCAGTTTAAATTGAAGGGTGACCGCCTGTCTACGCGAAATCTGGACTACAGATTTTTAGTTTCAAGAGCAGTTCATGTACAAATCTCGCTAAAGAGTATATTGTATATATTTAACGTCATTATACATAAAGTTGTTTATTTCATATAAGCAATGTACTACATCTGTAAGCTGTGAAGACCATTGTGTATTGGTGCGTATACTATTTGTGTTTTTTAATACCACACTTTATGCATAAAAGTGTTATAGTTGCCAAATGTTCGAGCACTGAACTTGGACTGAATTAAATATATGAAATAAACCACATACATCAATAAAATTTAAATACTTTTTAAATGTGTCATAGCTTTTTAAATACTGAAATGATTATTTAGTAATTCTTATATTAAAATAATTCTTACAAAAACTGCATTATAACGAAATAATTTTAAGCCAACTTAATGCGAGTTGGTTGATATTACTTTAAGTCAACCACATAACATCTATATTACAGTATTTAGGTACAGTGTGCTTCGCCAAGCATGATCCCCTTTTAACTTTAACAATGAAGTTATTCAAAATCTTATTTTGGAATTTTTTAATAATATAGGACATAACTACTTAAGTACTAAAATTTCATATTTTAAAATTTTTGAAATTTTTGTACTACTTAAGGAGTGTCCAAGATGCATATTTCTGGTTTTAAAATAAGTATCTCAATTATTATTGATACTGTAAATTATTTGACAGATGTTTTTTTTACTTATCAGAATCAAAATACAAATTAATAGTTATTCAGTTATTAAATTGTGTATACTTAGGGTGATAGTTCCATGATAATAGGTGAGGAAGGATATGGGTACTTTGACGATTTTGAAATTGTAAAATTATTATAAATCTATCAATAATCTTAATTTTTTAGAATGATCCAAATATATAATAAATACCTACTAGATCTAAAATTACATATATTTTATAATTTAATTAAGCTATTTTTAAGGGTCATCAAAAGTAGTATAAATATTTTAACAACTGAGAAATTACTAGTAAAATTTGCTATTAGATTTAGATAGGTACATCAACATTTTCAAAAGAATATCCAACGAATAATTGATATTTAAAAAAAAAAAAAAAAAAAAAAATGGGATTATTATTTTGAAAAATAGAAGTTTGTATCACCACATAACACTCATTAAGTAATAAAAAGTTCATGAATTTAAAAATATGGTCTTTAAGTTTTAAGTACAGGTCTTTAAATTCCAAAAATCAGAATTTGAATAAAATGATTATTAAAAGAAAAAATGGGGCGAGTGTACTTGGTCACCTTGAATATATTTTGTATACACCTAAAAAACTTAACAAGAGAAAAAAAGGGTGGTTTATGTGAAAACAGTTGAATTTTAATGGGGCAACTTTTTCTATTAAAATCTACTTTCGAATATTAGGAGTATAACGTCGGTATAAAGTCAAACGGGATCAGAAACGTAGGTTAAAAACGTACATTTTAATCCTCTCAAGTACCCTGGGCCAAATTCAAGAACATTTTGTGTATAAAACACGTAAATTAATAAAACATACATTTTTTTATACATAACTCAGAGGTAATTTTTTTATACTTTATAAATATACTTTAAATAAAAAAAACCCAAAATCAGCATTTTTCATATTTTGTTTTTTCCCCTATAGAAGGATTTATTGATGTATATTAAATTATTATTTATTCACATTCCTTATAATTATTATTTTAAAGTAAACATTATAATCTTAAGTGAAAAATAAAATTTACTGACTAGAAAATGTTTAGTAGTAAACAATATTCACTCGAACCAACGTGCTACGCTAAATCTTAAAATAATATTATATTGTGATATTATGATGTATTAGTTAGGTATTTATTATATTATTTATTATTTATTACATAATACATATTATATCGGAATCTATACACATAAACAATAAAATAATGTTATAATGTCTGAAAAAGGTTAGGTTAGGTTATTTCGAATTTTAATTTTTCACAGAAAAATACAAAATTATAATATAATATACATATATATGTTAACTTACACCCTACAATATATAACTTTGTATGTTGGATACGTTTGATATTTTATCTTACATGTACTTTTGTATGTTATAAACAGAGTATTGTAATGTGTTATGATGGTATTCAAGTATTTTATAAAAAGATTATAATAAAAATTGTWWAWTWAWAAATTAAAAAATGTTATGTGTAAAATTACTAATTATGATACTCAAACAATTCTAAGAAAAAACATAATTTTTCAATCTTTTTAACAATTTATACCAAACGTTTGTAAACATATGTGTGTAAAAAAGTTGTTTCAAATAAAATATCTAAGATATAACAACCCCGTTGAAATGTATATTAATCAAAGTCGTGTTGACAAATGCTCAAGAGATTCAATTGTTTCATTGGCTCGCAAACAAGTGAGCGCGGTGAAATAATAATAATAATAATTGTCATCGTTGCTGGTCGGTGATCTATTGTACATATTATAGAAACGTAATAATAACAACTACAACAATAACAATAAGAATTGGAACCGTCAAGTTGAGTCACAAGATGGTGACATGGTGTGACGGGGTAAGGACGGTAAGGTGGATGCTTAGTCGGAAAATCCGCGGAAAACGTTTTGTTGATGTTTATACAATATAGGTAATAACAAAAACGGTGGTGACATATGCGACTGGACGTTATTACTACATAGTTTATTAAAATAAAATATGGCTATTAAGCACGAGAATTCCTGCGCGATAGTCGGAATATTAATAAATATAAAAATATAATTTTAATTTCAATATTTTCACGATAGAGGTGTATCTACGTGCGATTATCATTTATTATTCCACATTACCTATTACAATTTATTGTAATCATATTCTTATTAGTAGATATTATAATATTAATAAAGTGCTCGACTGGGGAATACGCAAACTTAATTTTCACCTGTATTTCAACTATCAACTTTAAATTTTATAAAGTATAAAATCTGTTAAGAATATGCTTAAAAGCCCTCTAGTTCATGAGGTACAGGAAAATTCATAACTATACGGAAATTCGACCACTCTCCCTTACGTGTTACAATCAAGACCATCGAGCCGCCTCAAAATGTCCATTGAAAGAAACCGCGAGCTTCCAAAAGAGGCTGGTACCAATAACCTAAGAATTAAAACGATAAATAGACAAAATACGTACTTAGGTTATTAATATTATACAGTTAGTGCAAATATATAGGTACTAATAAAATCTTGGTTTATCTTGCTTTACCTACACCGTGGTTTAGTATTTTTATTGAAATACTGCAGTTTCTGGTACATTGTATTCCATTCAATTAAGTATTAAACATTATGCAGCTATATGAACATGATAAATTGATAAGCAGTGATTCGAATTGAATCGTTTAACCGTATAGGCATCTTCATCAAATTTCAATCACATTTTGTTTTATTATTTTTAACATCATCAAATCGTTAAGATGTACTACATTTGAAATGATCAACGACTATATTGTAATTACTAATTATTATAGTGATAGATAGAACGTGGATTTAAATGCATTAAAAACCAACTAAATATAGGCTAACAAATCTAAGACCACACGTATATAATACTCGCTAAAATTATGAAATATACACAAAAATAAAAAATCATTGACTAATAATACAAGCAATATTATATAATATTATAGCCGAGACACATTTTAAATAAAATCGAAGAAATAAATGCATTTGTTGCGGTCCAATCAAACCGATGAGTCGTATATAATATATTATTGGCGGTCAGCTATAGAGAGGTGAGCTGACAACCGGAAACGACGGTGTACGAAGTTAGGTACGGGTGAGAAAGGTGGGTGTGCACGCGTGCAAATTATATTATAATAATATAATGTTTATAATATATATATGCGTCGTATTATTGTGCACGTATAGTATATGCGTGTGCGTGCGTTTACCGGCCGCTCGCGCGATGACCGCGACCACGGTCGAAAGGGGTTACACGCGCAACATTAATCTAAGCCTTTGCGCGCGCGGAAACGGCCGCCAAGCGTTGGGGTCTCGGGTTTTACGGGATGATGTCTGTCCGCGGTATACGGTGCGCTTTGTCGTCGTGGCGAGGGTTGCGCGCGCGCGCGCGCGCCTAAAACGCACAACGTAGTCGGGTGGGCACGCGCGCGTGGCCGCTCTCCCGGTCGGGTTAACGGTGACGGGTGGACGGGGCTGGTGGGGTGGACTCCCGTTTTCGCCCGGCCGCCGCCGCCGCCGAGCAGAGCGTTCCCAGCGGCGGCGGCGGCCGTACAATAACAATATAAGTGTATAGTACGTGCTGTACGGCGCGGCGCGGCTGTATCGGTTGGGCGACGGGTCGGTAGCGGGGTGTCGGGCGAGGGACGGTGGTTGGCTCAGTGGGAGGGAAACGGTGGCGGTGGCCAGGAGGAGCCCCGACGCCGCCGGAACAGCTGCACACGCCGAGGGGAACCGAACGAGGCCTCGTACGCGTACTAAATTTAGACGGCCCCGCCGGAGTAGTTGGACGTGTAACGACCACTACGGCGACGACGACGACTACGACGACGGCGGCGGCGACGACGGCGACAGCGACAGCGCGCGCAGTCAGTGACGTTACGGGGATCCCTTCTGGTGCACACACGGTCCGCGGTCCGCTCATTCGCTCCGTCTCGTCCAAATATAATAATAATAATAATAATACACAACGCACCGCGCGCTCCGCTGCACGGCCAGTCGCTCAAGCTATATAATATTATTATTATTTTCGTCACTCACTCGAGCACACGCGCGCCGCCGCACCACACGTTGTCACGCTAACATGTCGTCCGGGTGCTAGTCATCATCGCTGTCTGCTCGTTTGTTTGTTTGTTTGATTTGTTTTTATTTTAAGAAAATACATTTTTCTGTTTTAATTTTTATTTGAAAAGTTTTATCTCGTTACGCGATTTTTTTTCATCCCCGATCAATTTTTGCTCGTTTCGTTCGTCCCGATAATCATTATTAATACGTACTGACGAACGTCTTATCATATCACAATTATATTATTTCTTACTCGTGTCACATAATAATTATTGTTGTTAATACTTCGCGTCGGCTCCTTATAATACGACCTACGTACAATAACTACAGTCGTCGTTCGTCATGTTGATGTCTGGTGCAATGACCAATCCGGACACTAGCCTGTTGGGTACGGCCGAGGGTCTGGTCGGTAGCCTGGCCAGCCTAACTGCGGTGCCCGGCACCGGCGGCGGTGGCGGCCAGCAAAAGGACACCACGTGGACCAAGTTGTTCGTCGGCGGACTGCCGTACCACACCACCGACAAGTCGCTGAGGGACCACTTCGCTGTGTACGGCGACATCGAAGAGGCAGTCGTCATCACGGACAGGCAGTCCGGAAAGAGCAGGGGCTACGGATTTGTGAGTATGCCGTGACTGCACGACGACTACGTTTTTATTAAGCAATACAGTTATACGAATACTGGAACCTCGAGAACTTGACTACTAGAATTGTATTTTATTCCCCTAGAAAAATCTACTCCCATATTAATCAGTTAGATATCGCGAATTTGTATCCCTCTTTAACTTCGAGTCATCACGACTCGACTGTATAATATAACGATTAGAAACAATATCGAGCACAATAACGTCATTTTAACTGTTCCATTTCACATCTTTAGCGGGCTAATCAATTTTTAGGAGCAATCACTGAAAACTCGGACCAAAACGCTAATCTACAGTATTTTAAATGTGTAAAAATATTCATCTCACGTGCCACTGAGCTAGGTTTGATTTTCGTCGGCAAGGGGAGGCAGCTTGTATGTGGCTAAGCTCCGCATCTACCCCGGGTAATCCTCCCTCTCTATATAACACTACAACGCGGGCTCAATCCATTTCAATTTATTTTTTGATTTTTTAGTCGAAAATCGAAAATATTCTTTTGGGTATACCTAATAATACTTAATAGATGCGCAATAATATTATAATAATGTATACGCAACACGCGTTGTTTTTGTATATTAAATAATGTGTATATGTATAATAATGTAACAGTGTTAAATATTGTAATTTTTCGTGCTCGGCAGCTATATAGTGCGTCAGCGCATGTGTCTATGTTTGTATTTGTCCGACAGATGTTTAGGGAGTGTGTAGTATATGTCATTCGTGTCCTGTGCGTGTACGTACGTATATGTGTGTAGGTTTATCATTTATAGCTTGTGTGTGTGTGTGTGTGTGTGTGTNTTAACATATAATGTTTAAAACGAATTGTAAATATTTTAGCGATTTTCTTAAAATTGCATGTTTTAAACCATGAATACTCGTACATCCGAAGAACCCAATCTATCAAATTTGTAGCTAAATACCTGGTTATCTGGTATAAGTGTTCAATTTATGATAAATTTCATATATTTTTATAATGCCAGTTAATTTTGTATAGCTTAAGATAAGTATGCTATTATTATAATTATTTTTTTTTTATTGAGTTTCAGTTCTTAGCATTTTTGTAGGGTGGTTACGGTTGGTTGAGGAACACGTGTGTGTGGGTATGTGTATATAAGTTATCAAAGAAGTCACTGGCAAAAAACAGCGACGATTTTTGAGCGATCGGCGAGGAAAAAGAAACGACACCAAACGCGCCGTATACTCATTGTCACCGTTCCACTTTTAATCATTAACTTGCTTATTGTTTGGCTTTTGTTCCCTGAACGATTTTGTGAGTTTCCGCAACGCCTTGTATTCCTAGAATCACGAATATCGATGCACAAATCGGTCTCGATGGTAAAATTAATAAGGACAGCGAGAACAAATTCAAAAATCTGCAGCTGTCGCGCCTCCGGTATTGCCGTCGTAAAAAAACGTTCACAGACGATACTACGATAGCGATAATAATAATGATATCATCATCATCATTATCATCATCATAATATTCATATAATCAAAAAGTCGTAAAACCTTATTTTATAACAAACGTATTACGTGATAAACGCGGGTGTGCGTGTGACGTCAGATCCAGAAAACTTTCGTGACGCGGATAGTTTGGGCTGCGGTAAACTATATTATATATTATAGCACATACCTACCAAGTTTTCTCGGTTATACGCATATAAATAATATATTATAAACTCATAATATCATAATCTCTATCCAAAGATTTGTGTTCTAGAGTTGGGTTCATCGACGCACAGCGTTCGCCCGCCAAAACGAGTGAAAGAGCTGCAAGCGTTTTACAAACCTCTTTCGGTTTTAAATACCACCTATTTTATAATACTAAACCTGAGGTACGCATTACAAACAGTTATCTCGAAGGGCGAGCAAATATTCGTGATTATTATCATAATACCGGACACCGCCGGTCCGACGGTTTACTCGGCTGTTTTGTGGTTTCCTTACTCACTTCATCTCGTTTCGAAAATCTGATCGCGCCCATGTCCGATTTCCGTCAGTCACTACTACATATATATATAATATTTTTATAACGTGTGTGCGTGTGACTTTGTCGAGCTAACAGATCGAGGTGGGGTATATGCGAGCTATACGTAGGTGTACTGCAGGTAGACCGACGATGTGCTGTCTGGCACCATCGTTGAATGATCATATAAGTTGGCCCTCCGTGGTTTCCCGACGTAAACCACCCCGTATAATATAATATTATAATGCAGTAAAATCAAAGATCATTAAGAAATAGATAGTCGGCTATCACGTTTCTATAAATGTATACGAGATAATTGTGATGGTCTGCAGTGATTGAAATAGATGCAGCCAAATGAGACGAATTATATCAATCTAACCGCTACGAGAAACTTATTAATCAAACCCCCCCCCTACTCCTTTCCGATAGATCGGCTAGCTACCAATAACTTTATCAAGATTTTATTTCATTTTTGTACTTCTATAATGTGTCATCGTCGTTACGCGTGCAGCTTATTATTTCATTAATATTATTATATCATCACGGCGCAATGTAAGTTTATTAAGTTCGCATGTTTGCGTACTTACAACATGTCTCGTGTTCATATTCTTATTAGAATAGGCGCCGCACTAGAGTCGTAGGTAAACGTATACATTTATACGTGCACAAAGCATACAATGTATACGTACTATATGCATATATATATATACCTAAGTGTACAATAATAATATACGACCATAACGCGAGCGAGACGTTTGAAACCACTTGCGCACATTACGAAAAGTTTCACACAAACAAAYGATGGTGATACAGAGAGAAAGAGGGGGTGAGAGAGAAAACGAAACGCAGAGACGCGGTAGAGGGTGAATATTGTGAACGTTTTCGCTTTTCATTCCGCAACGTAAAAGTGTTGGAACGTACACAACACGCGATGGGGTAGACAAAAGATTTTGTTTGTTCTCGTTAAAATCGAATAAAAAAATTAAAATAATTGAAAGTAAATCAAATTATTAATTATTATTCACTTGAGTATTTTATATACTCATAATGCGAATGGTATACCTAACCACCATACTCCATCTATACGTTATTGTTAAATTTCTATGAATTCGATACAACTGTTATTCGATTTAATTAGTATATTTTTTCAAACGTCTTTTATCGCCGTACTTACGACTACAGATCGTTATTTTTATAATTATTACTAGAGTTAGGATGTTGATGACCTAAAAAACACACACAAATGCCCTAAAAAAAATGCAAAAATCCCTAAAAAAGTGCAAAAATGCCCTGACACTTCAAAAATTGACCTTAAAAATTATCTGAAATAGGTACTAATTAAGTAAGTGAAAAAACTTTTTTATAAATAATAATTTTTATTAGAGATATGGGTATAAATAAATTTAAAATTTATATTTAATTAATATTAAAATTATTTTTTACTAATAGTCCAAATCCAAAGTTAGATTTTAAATAAATTAAATTTGTTTCCAAAGTTGGGTGTAACATTTGCCCTAAAATCTATAATTAGTGAAAAATGCCCCACATTGTATAAAAATTACAAAAAATGCGCAAAAATATGAAAAAATGACTTTAAAATGTTGAAAAATGACGTTAAAAAACAAAAAAAATGCATTTATAGCTAAAAATGCAAAAAATGCAAAATAAAATTAGAATATTCTGCATCAAGGGAGTATGAAACAAATTTTTAGCTAGGATAGCATTGTACAGAATAAAAGGAAAAAAATACAAAAGTCATCAACATCCTAACTCTAATTATTACATTTTCTACGTATTACTTAATTTTTTTTCGGTAGATCGCAAATATAATTCTATAATAATCGACAATGAAACAAAAACTAATCCCTTTTCGAGTTGTTTGGGCATAGCCATTACAACGAACGCCGACGATTGGCACACAGCATGTTTATATTTAAATGCATACAGGGTGGTCCTAATGTTTACCACGCGGAATCTGTTGGCCGTGACGACTAAAATACACCACACGAGGTCCATTAATATACATTTACGTATCTATATATTGTACGTATAATAAATATAATAGTCGCGAGCCCGTGAGCAAATCGCTTTTCCGGCTCACGACGGTATAATTGCATCGCCCAGTCCGCTGGGAGACGACCTCGGAACGACATTTATTTCCATTACTTCCTTTCTCGCGCGCCGGTCGCAGTTACTTCCGCTACTCTCGTCCGCGCCATCCGTCGCCGTCACGTACTAGAGGTGTCGAAAGGATATTCGCGTCCCGTCCCCGAGGACTCGGCTGATGGCTAAAAAGACGACTCTATATAGAAACAATCCAATGTGTATAAAAATAGTTGTAGGCATAATATAATATAAGCGTGCAGAGCATAATGTTATAATGTTATGTGTATAATTATTAATAGTGTACGCCGTATGTGCCGGGTAATACCTACATATTGCTCTATACAGAGCGCAAAATATGAATACCTACTGACGGCCAACCCTCATCACTGCATCAGCAAATAATGCACTCGTGTACTAATACGATGTACGAGTTTCGGGTTTTTCGAGACGAATAATTAAAAACAAAAAAAAAATCGGAAACGCGTGACTATATCACATCAACTGCAATCGCGCGCGTCACAACCTCGCCGTAGTCTTGTGTGTATGACGTTATAAAAGTCCCACCCTCTCATCGTGCACACACAAGTGCTCTTTTATCGTGGTTATACATAATACATAATATATGTACATATTATACTTTTGTCTCGCGCTCGGCACGCTGCGTGCACGCAGCACAACCACCCTAGGATTCCACCGTACTATAAATATATAGGTATACGCACCACGCACACCATATATATTATTATTATTATATTCTTGCAGCCCTTGCCTTCGCTCTCGACACGTAATTCAATTTTACCCTTCAAACTTTATCCTCGCCCTTCCGCCGCTCCGTGTCCAGCTACACACTCAACCCTTCACCGACCGCCGCAGTCGACGATCCTTGCAGCTCACCCCCCCGTCTATATATATATATATATATATATATACATTTCACGAGGTAGATAAGTGCAGGCTCCCAGAAAAGCACCCTTTTCCCTAGAAATTCACCTCATACTCTCCAGATAATATAACAACGGTAATAATGATACGACGACGATCTTTGGTTTACTCTGCAGGTGATTATGGGAGACAGACCCGCGGCTGAGAGGGCGTGCAAAGAACCGAACCCAATCATCGACGGACGGAAGGCCAACGTGAACTTGGCCATATTGGGAGCAAAACCTCGAGGAAATTTACAGCCAGGTAAGACAGCGGTATATTATTATTATACGTTTAAGTTTGTGAAATATCTTTAGTTTGTATGTAAATTATATATTAAAAAGAAAAAAACCATGGCCGTTGAATACCGGCCGTCTTAACCTATAAAAACAACAATTGGTCATTATAATAAATAATTATAATCGTTATTGTTATCATTATTTTATATTACGTATATAATGCACACAAATGTTTATACATTGCTCGGTCGGGTAAAACGATACTGTTTAAATACAATAATATTATGCAGGTTATACGCGTACATATGATGGGATCGCGTGACAAGCGTGTTGTATATAAAACGTGCCAAAAATGTGCTCCGTTTCGAACAGCTTTTATTTTCATTTCATAATATTCTCTCGGTTTTCGATTAATAATTGAAATTTATACCTATACCTATATATTATCAATAACCACGAACGGTGATCGGATACATCATTTCAGTGACATGTAGGCACACCGCATACATGATGTGTGATATGTATATATTATACTGCTATAGTAAATAGTGTAAATCGCGTGGTGACACACACACACACCGCACACACGCATTACGAATACGTAATGAGATGATTATCAGATAGTATAGTGACTATACAGATAATATTGTGCATACACACAGGGTGTTTCAACCATGAAAATCACATTAGGATAATTATTCTCGGTGAAAAGGTCCATTATCAAAATTGTCAGAACCATTTTACACAGTCCCTTATTGTTAAAGTTTTGTCAATATTCGTCGATGTCTGCTCTCACTGATACCTGCCAACATCTCTTATTCTATAAGTTAAAACCACTTTTACCGATCGATACTTGGCGATGTCTAGCACTTTTTCGCGTCCATCAAATGATGAAACGATAAATGAAAAATTGGGTTAAAGATCGTCTGAAATAAATGTGATATGAATTTTGCAAAAAATACGATAGAAAGTTTGTTTTTAAATTTAATTCATAATTTAGAGTATGAAAATTAAAAACACGTCACAAGTTTTTGATAGAGAACAAAAATTCTTAACATTTCGTTTTTGTAGCTACTTAAGTATAATTATATACCTAGTGGCATTCGTTGAAAAACTTTAGAAGCACTCTACATGTATATGGATTATGTGAATACAGAACGCATTATTATAATAACATAATGTAAGCTCTCCTACTTGACGAAATAATTACTCTTCGAAAACGTTCCGACAATCGTCGTTTTCTCTAATTTCCTATGCTTACTGTGTATTATATTGCACTATATAGGACATAAATGGTCTTTAATTACTTTTCAAATATGAAAATATATAATTATAGCAATATAAATATCAATATAATATATATACATGTCATCGCGGGTAACTACGTTGTTTTCGTCTTCCGAGCTTACCGAAATCTGCACTTTAATATTATAATATTATGACGTGTTACCCTTTGTGATGAACGAAGAGATGTACGTGACAAACTGACAACGCGTTATTCATGTTCCATTGTGTCTGTTCAGGGTGTATCATGGTTTCCATCTACCTATATATTATTGATGAACTTTTTACCGATATTATTCAGTAGTAAATAAGACTGTATGAAAAATAGGTTTTAAAAATAAAAGTTCTATAAAATGGAAAAAACGGATTTCGATCAATATAGCCGACATCAAATGAGATCGCACAGATCTGAAAAGTATAAAAATTTTATATATGACGCAAAAAAATAAACCTTCTTATGATTCCACTAACGAATGTAATTTTTTTATCTTGAAGTTGTTTCCACTCGTTGGTTTATATCATATCTGGGGATATCAATCGTCACCGTCCGTGACACTAACTGCTTCATTAGATACAATTATTAATATAATAATAAAATATACGCCTATAATATACTATATACACATACAATATACGTATCGATCGATTGTTTCATCGTATATACGGACAATGTACATAATACGCAAAAAATCATGTACCTATTTATATATTATATTACGAATTTACGACGGTCAAAATGATCACGGCGATCACGTCATATATAGTGTCCAATAAGATATCATAATAGGTCCACATAGGCTCAACTATGTATAGCAAAACTCGATCATCTCCAAAAATGTAATTTTCGATTAGATTTTAAATATTGTTATGTATAAAAGGCAGATAATATTCTTATTGTATATACTATTTGAAATTTTTATCTTAGAAAATCGGTTTGATAATCATTTTATGGAGTAGGTATTGTCTACGTATTAGTCATAATTAAACTTCCTGTAGTGTCTAGATTGGATAACACTGCGCGTCTGTAGATGTTTTTATAAATAATGTGCTCTAGTAATTAACAATAATTTTATTGAATACTGTATTTAATTATCAAACAAATACGACTTAGTTATACTTCGGTTTCATAAACATGTTATGCAAAGTTGTATCCTGGTGTTTAGCTGTTTAGCACCCCTAGGCCACGATTGTTTTATTTCTAGAATCTCGCACCAATATAATATACGAACCATCAGAGCTATAATATTATTAGTATATACCTATACTCGTGTACATGCGTACGATAATATGCATATTACATCTATAGCATTATACGGTTTTATAATTTTGCATTTTATGTCCCTCGACCACCATAATGAGTAGACCGATATAGAGTATAACACTCGTAGCGTGTGTATTCCGTGTACCGTATATTTACAGTATACGTCATACGCAATATATATATATACGCACACCATCATATACGACGGCGTAGTGTACATATTTTTCACCTTTTCAAAACATAAAAACCTACAGCTAATACAACGACGGCCAGCTGGAGGGACCTCCGTAAATAACATATGGTTATCCTGTTGGTCTCGTGTGTGTATACAGTGTGCAACGTGTGCAGTGTGTGTGTGTGTGTGTGTGTGTGTGTGTGTGTGTGTGTGTGTGTGCAGTGGCGTACCGGGTCGGGAGGGGCGATGCCCAACTATATAATATAATATCGGTGAACGCTCGGCGGGTCATTGACACGAAACCAACTGCCCCTGCTGCTCACGGGCCGTGCCAAATTAGAACGAAGGGAACGCTAACCCCGAGTTTTATTTTTGTATACGTAATAATCATTCACAGTTGCACGTTTCGTTTATATTATATATATATACACACTCACACACACAAACACTGCTGCTGTTGTAGCGTATACAGGGTGCGGTCTATCGCCGGGCTGTACCACCAGTGTGCCTTGTTATATACCGTCGATAACTCTTATTTTCTTTGATAAACTATTAGTACTAAAACGAGATTTTGGAAAACCGTATGCAACCATACAAGCGAGAGGTAACTACTAACTAATATTTTTCGGTATATACCTTAAGCTAGGAAACTAAAATGGTTTTCTAAGAAAATCGACTCGGGGGTTGTTTTAAACCTTGTTGAAATGCATTCGAATCATTACTATCTAATTTAATTACCTTTCCATCGAGTATATAATATTATATTGAACTTTCAAACGGCCGTGGTGTGATGCAGTGATCTAAGGTTTTTGCAGACAAGAACTAGGCCATGCAGGCGAGCTATGCGGAGAATATATTATATTATAATATATAAGGGGATGGTCGCGTGAAATACGACACCCTATATATATGCGATGCGATGACGTTTGGTGCGTTTAGTCGTCTGTATATATGTATGATATTATATTTTATATGCACGCGTGCATTACACTCCTTCGCCGTTTCACCCCAAACCGGATTAGCTGTACATTTTTTTTTATACGTACGATCTGCCCCGTCGCCGTCGTCCATATTATCTCTTCCATTCATTCATATGCGTATATTTTATCATATTGTGTATTATTATATATTATATATAATTATATATGTGTGTTCAGTAAATCTAAAATTTCGCCCCGTCCTCGCGAACACATGTATGATCGTGATGGCTACGTCTCTGCCAGGGCATTGAACGCTAATATACACACGAGGAACATTATACACATAAACGTGTAATACGGGTAACTCTCGTGTAATATTTGATGTATATCTTGTATTATTATCATATAATATCTATTTGGTCAACTGTAAACGGATAGCAATATCATTGATTATTAGTGTTGCACAACGATATCGATAACAGCTAGAAAAAAATGTTCGGTCGTTTTCAATATTAATATCGAATTTATATATCAAGATATCGTAACAGTGACAAGCAACGCATAAGACGAGATCGCTTTTTTATAGCAATATTTTAATATTGGTACCTCCATTGAGGACTATTGATGGTATCTATATAGTAAGTATAATATAAACCACTAAATAACGCAGATAAAAACCGGAATGTAATGAATTATAAGCCTAATGTTAAAAAGATAACTGTTTCTCGAAGACCTAAACTTACAAACATTTTAAATTAACAGAAAATACACAATCTATTCAATATATAAGTAAAATTAAGAATATGTGATATTATCGGTTTGCATTAGATCTATATTACAGCATAAATGACTTGAAGAATAAGATTCAAACATTATTTATTAAATAATCAACACCAAAAGCCAATTATTAAGATTTTACCTTCAATCAGTTTTCAAACAATAGGTACATTTAGTGATAAAATAAGTTTAGTTAAATTAATAACACCTATACGGAATTTTAAATTATTACATTCCGATTCCTTATTCTTTTTGACAAGTGCGTCATCTGATCATTTACTAAGTTACTCTGCACAAATCAATAAAAAAAACAACCAGTGTAAGTGACTGATTTTTTAAGTTAAGTATACTTATACTCGTATATAATACATTTATATACTGAATATACTGGCCACTGGGTATTGCTTTGGACACTCAGCCTGAGTGACTCAGGTAAGGCTCTTTTAAACAATTAAAAAGAAGAATTTGTTCTACGATCTTTCGTCATCGTTTAAACTTTATATTAGTTGCTTTCTATTTATATTGTTTACGTTGAAAACTATTTGGATAAGTCCAGTCAAAAACAACCAAACAGAAACTTTTTTATATGTTTTAACTTAATTGAATTA